GCCTGCCGTTGCTGTGTCACATCACGTTGGTCGGTGTTACCCAAATGTTTGTTCTCATATCTGAGATGACGAAGAGGAGAAAGACTCACTTCTGTAAGGCCATTTTTTTCCCAAAACTCTTTTTTGGTGTTGCCTGCTAACGGGCAGACCCTGCTGTTGTCTTCCACGTTTCCTGATGGGACCTCCTGCAGCCTGTGCAGACGTTCCCAGACGTGTGCTGCTTTGGTGTGTCACACCATCACTTCACTTCGTAAGCCACGTGGTGAAGGGTTCTGGGAGGTGTGAAAGCAGTGTCTAGCTCCGCAGAGGTGCGGTGGGATTTGCAGCATCCTCGAGCAGCTTTTCCCTTGTGGAGGGGACTGATGCTGTTCCTGTCTCGCTCTCTTACAGCCGGATACTCTGGGAGCGCTGCCAAACCTGCGTGAGCTTTGGCTGGACCGGAACCAGCTCTCAGCCCTGCCTCCAGTGAGTACCTGCTCGGGGCCGAGCCTTCACCGCTTTGCTCCCTCCCTCAGCCAGTATTGTCTCCTCTCTGATCCTAGGAGCTGGGCAATCTCCGACGCTTGGTCTGTCTGGATGTGTCGGAGAACAAGCTGGAGCAGTTGCCCAACGAGGTCAGCGGGCTGGTGGCGCTGACGGACTTGCTCCTGTCGCAGAACCTGCTGGAATGCATTCCGGACGGGATTGGTGAGTGGGGCAGGACCTCTCTGCCCAGGCAGGGGGGGCTTCGGGCAGGAGTGTGCCTGATGAGATATTGGGGCTTGATGGGCATAGCCACAGTAGTTGGGTGCAGGTCGGCAGGTGGTCCTGGTGAGCAGAACTCTGCAGGGTGAGTTCAGGCTCTTGGTCTGCGTGGTGTGTGGGTGAGACCAGTGAACGAGCCTGAGGGGTAGAAGCGTGGTGCCTGTGTCGTTCCCAATCCCTGACGGGAGGCGTTTTGGCTGGGCGAAGGCAGAACAGCATCATTATCTCTGTGGCAGAGCTCACACCTAGCTTGTTGCCCTGGCCAGGTCAGCTGAAGCAGCTCTCCATCCTCAAGGTGGACCAGAATCGACTGACAGAAGTGACCGAGTCAATTGGGGACTGTGAAAATCTGTCGGAACTCATCTTGACAGAGAACATGCTGTCGGTAAGTGCACCGGCGGCCGCACACGCCCCCC